CAACGCTTGATTGAACAATCTGAAGTCCTTGAATCCCATGCCACCGGCTGATTTGGGCCACAACATATGATCCCAAGCCTTCCACTGTGTTTTCCTCTTACTTCTGTACGCTCCCCACCAGTAACTCTGAATCATGCGAGCAAGATCATCACATGTGCTCCTGGGGAACTTGAATATGCTCATCAGAAATGTTGGTAAGGAATGGGCTACAACCTTAATGAGGACTTCCCTTCCTGCCTGCGACATAAGCTCTCCCCACTGAATAATTCTCTTGGTGAGCTGTTGTTGCACATTTTTTAATTTCCCTCTAGACAGCCGACCACTCGGAGTAGGAAAGCCAAGATACTTCTTCAAAACTTGCATTAACCACATCCAGCGTATGCATGACCTCCTGTTTGTTCAACTCCGGACACCTGGGCCCAAAGAGAATGGAGCATTTATTTGGGTTTATGACTTGCCCGGTAGCTGAAGCATATCTGTCAAGAGTCGCTCTCACATGACCAGCTTCTGTAGCGTTGGCATGAAAAAACAGTAGCATGTCGTCCGCAAACAAGAGGTGTGAAATGCCCGGGGCTTGAGGACATACCCGCATAGGCGTGATCCTGTGACCTTCAATTTATTGTCTTAAAATAGCATTGACTTGTACTCCCTTCTTTCCGGTTTATAAGGCTCAATTCAAAAATCTCACCAACCAAGATAGATGGTGAGTGGTGGAATACTTTTTGTAGTTTGCAAAAGCACCCAATTAATGCTCTTGTTTTTCTCAAAAAAGTATGTTTACCAATGCATTAATTGCAATGTATGCATGCATAAATTACATGCATTGGTCAATTTTCTCTTAATACTTACATGCAATGATTTAATGCACCTTGAAATCTGAACATGTGCTGGGAAATAACCAAATTAAGCCTTATAAAATAAAAAAAACTAAAATTTTGAGATAAACCCTATAAACCGGAAAGGAAAGGAGGGAGTACTAATAGCAATGCGATTTTCCAAAGAAAAATAGACTGGCATGACTAGTTTAGACCGTGCTTTGCCCATTACCCTTAGGCCATCCACAAACACTTGCAAGTTGCAGGGCTTATCCGGATGATCATCACTTTTTAGATAGATGAACTTTGGCCTCGGGTTTGAGGTGACGTACACGTAGGCTAGCTCGCCCACTGGACAGCGACACGCCATTGAATGAATGATACGTACTACGTATATGATCCAATCGCTCGTCCTCATCACCGTGCCCAATCAGCGTCTGCTAATGATATGCCATGATTGTGGTCGGTGACGCCGACCCGCGCCACAAACTCAACCGTGCCGTGCTACAGGGGGGTGGCGGTGTACGGGATGGGGCGCCAGCCACACATGCTGCCGCGTCTCCAGATGCGGTGGCTGAGGCTCGCTGGATCTCTCGCCGCCCGCCTCGTCGACATCGTCCTCGCATATCCCGCGCTGCATTTGAGTTCGGTTCGTTGCGCTGTCAGACTGGCGTACAGGTTGCTTTGTGTGCGAGTGAAGCCAACGCGACGTGAAACGGAAATTGCGGAAAGACGTCTTTTAAGGGTGATATAGCCGGGCAATTGAGTGACTTGATGTCGGGACAGTAAAATCTTTTTGAGTTTTTTTTTGAGGATAAAAATCTTTTTAAGTTTTGGTGTGTTTGATATTGTCTTTCTCCTTCTTTTGAGCATTACAATATTGTTAACCCTCTTTTTTTATGTATTGCTTTTTTTTCGAGAAAACTTTCAATCTATTCATCTTCGATCATGGCAATACAACGAACACCAGAAATAATAAAAATTACATTTAGGTCCGTAGACCACCTAGCGACGACTACAAGCACTGAAGCGGGCCGAAGGCGCGCCGCCGTCATCGTCCCTCCCTCGTCGGAGCCGGGCAAAACTTGTTGTAGTAGACAGTCGGGAAGTCGTCGTGCTAAGGACCCATAGGACCAGCGCAGCAGAACATCAACCGCCGTCGATGAAGAGTAGCGTAGATCCGGAGGATCCAACCTGAAGAAACACAAAACGTATACGAACTATGACCAGATTCGAGCAAACCCACCAATGATAGATCAGCCGGAGACACACATCCACACGCCCACCGACGATGCTAGACACATCACCGGAATGGGGGCTAGACGAGAAAGACCTTATTCCATATTCAGGGAGTCGTCGCCGTCTCGTCTTCCTGAGCAGGACATAAACCCTAACAAAACTTGAAGAAATATCTAAAAACGAAGCCCTCCCGCAGGCAAAGGTCGGGATCCACCGCGCCGCCATGGCACTAAGGCCACCGGGGACAAGATGGACCGGCGGCGGCGCCGACGGAAGGCAAAGAAACCCTAAGCTTTTCTCGGAGAGGAGGCTTTTCTTTACTTGCGCATAAAATCTTTTTTTATGTATTGTTAACCCTCTTCTTAGTTAATGAATGAGCCAAAGTTTTTGCCTCGTTTTTTTTAAAAAAAGTTCACATACCCCTGATATTTCAGGAAGCGGATTACATAATCCTCTCAACTTTGAAACCAGATATTTAGCCCCCTCAGTTTTACAAACAGTTTTGCTAAATCTCAGTCGACTGAGACTTCATTATGTCCCAGTCGATATTATATTCTTTTGATCTTGCGTTGAGATTAGTACAAAACTCTTCTTTTTGATTTTTTTCTTATATACTAATATATCACTTGACTGAGACTTGATTAAGTTTTAGTGGACCGTGACCTGGCCACACCCTTTTACGAAACCAGATAAATCACCTTTTAGAAGTTTGGAAGGTGGTTTGGTAGAGTGGTTTTGTCCACGCGGCGTCTTTCTCTGTCCCCACACGCTCTTGCCATCTTTCCTGCACCCCTTGGCGGCCAAATTGTGTTTTGACCCTTTTGCGAAAATTGAGCCAGATTTGACCCTGGCCCGGAAAAATTTCAGAATCTGATCATTTTCCGACCGTCGGGGTTGATGGCGGTAGAATATACCAGCCTATCGTTGAGGCCTCTGGCGGTAGGCAATTTATTCACGTTAGCGCAATGCAGCCCGCCAAGGTGCCCGGCTCTAGGTGGGTACAGAAACTGCATTTGATACTTAAAAATTATTTGCGGTAGGCGTGCATCCCAACCTTCAAGGATCTTAGCGGTAGATTGTTATACCCTACCGCCATAGACTCTGACGATAGGAAAATGATCAGATCTCGAAAAAAATTCCAACCAGGATCAGATCTAGCTAAATTTTTATAAAAGGGTCAAAACACCAAATTTAGCCCCCCTCGACGGCAGTAGCACTTTCTGCTCACCGGCCAGCCCACCACCGTTGCTCTGGATCTCACTTCGGCTCCATCATCGCGCTCGTTTGCATCTCCACCCTCCAAGGCCGTGGGCATGTTGGCGTAGAGCAAGAGGATCCGGCCAGGTACGGTTTCTGCCTTAAGCTGCGGCGAAGAGGCACAACGCCCCATCCCTTGCGTGACAACGGGAGTTCGGTGGCAAATCACAACTCTGGTCAGCGCTCATAGCATAGACCGAGGAGGAGGGAGTTGGAGGACCAGGGTAGCGATGGAGAGGAGAGGCCGACGAGGGCTTCCCGATGCATGCGTTGGGGGCCGAACGCATCATCCATTCTTCTCAATCAATTACCCAATTCGTTTTAATTACAGAAAACTGGCATTCTCTGACCGCATGAACTCATGCTCGGCATTGCATCATACACGTTCAGAATCAGCATGCGCAGCGCAGAGAAGTACTAGGAGTATAATCAAATGCATAAGCACTGAATGCAAGTGCAGGGCCAAAAGAACTACTCCCTCCGTTTGGAATTACTTGTCTCGAAAATGGATGTATCTAGAACTAAATTACGTCTAGATACATCCATTTTTGCGACAAGTAATTCCGAACAGAGGGAGTAGCAGTATAGTGAACAATGCCCATTTCCTCTGGCTACGGATTGAACGTAGACTGGATTAACAGCATCAAGCCGCTCACAAAACGAGGGGAAGTGAAGAACATCGACACAGAGGCCACGCATATCCTCTTTACTTCTCAGGCTGGTGGTGTATCAGTCAGTCATTTCGCTTCTTGGCTTGGCGGCCGGACCTCCGCCGCGCCCGGCGCTGCCGCCCGCCGCCCTCCTCGTACTCCGAGTACTTGTCGTCCAGGTCCTCCAGTGATTTCTGCACCATCGACGCGAATTCACAATCAACGGAGAGAAGTTGTGCGTTCATATGCACGGTGGAATAAGGGATATCGGGCAAACCTCCCGGATCTCCATGAAGCTGACGGCGTAGAAGGTTGCGGCCGCGGCGCCGACGATGCCGAGGATCGGAATGACGAATTGCCCGGCGTCCATGTCCGGTTCCCACCGCCGACTCCGAGAGGCTGAAGTGAAGGGCTTTGCTGGTTTCTGTTCTCCTCACAGCCAACCATCGCAGTAGCCTCTATCTATCCATCACCGAGGCCAGCTTTCGTTCATTCTTACAGTTACACCCCCACTTAAAGGAGCTATTATTTGTGCATCAGTTCCTCGGTCGCTCACACAATTATTCAGAACCAATGCACACATCTTCGAGCTGCGAAGTGTTGAAGCACAAATGCATAGCTCACCTTTGCAAATCAACTTGTGTTTTTTAGGTGAACTGGCTGGTGTATGCAACGCTACACGAAGTTGCTTTCTAGAACAAACAATGCCCATCGTACGGCACACAAGAAGTTGCCAAATAATCTGCGCATACTTCATTGAACTTCTTATTTATTTCACAAATCACAAGCACAACAGTTGTTCACACAGCTCAGCGCACGCACTGGTACTCACACGCACATCAGCAACAGGCGGATCACACAACTAGTAGTAGCACGCAAGGTGCAGTTGATGCCACTGCAGGGACCTCCACTCCAAGTTTGGCAACCTCAGCATACGAACTGAACATCTCTGCACGCTACGAGCACGGACACGTACGGGTAGTAGTAGTAGTAGTACATCACATCGCATAGTCAAGGCCATGGCTCTGACGCGCGTCCGTCACTCGTCCTTGGGAATGCGGGCGGCGAGCGCGACGCCGTTGACGTAGTCGTGCGCCCTGTGGAACGGCAGGCCGGGCAGCGCCACCGCCAGGACGCGCAACAGCAGCAGCTCCCACCCTTCCCGGAAGTAGGCGCCCCTCCGGTAGCTCAGGTACGCGCTCCGCGCCAGCTCCCGCGCCGCGTTCACCCGGCTCGCCACGAGCCCCGCCGCCGACGACGATGGGCTCGCCGTCTCGCCCGGTATCTCCGTGAACACCTGCACGAGTAACGCAAAATGTGCATTGATTTTTTTGATTCAGAGGAAAATGCATTTCATTTTTCCAGGTCGAAGAGGACATGTTTGGTGGCCACGAACAGTTCAGTGGCTCTCGCCGAACTCCCGTATCTCCGGTTGTCTCGGCCACATCTCGTTTATCTCGTCAGTTTACGAGTGTGCGTAAATGCAATTTTTTGTGACCTTACATCGTCAATGATTGGTGAGGTATCTAGTAAGACTTGGCAGGTTTTGGCATGAGACAAGAACGAAAGATCACTTTCGCTGGATGCTCATTCTGGATTGTTCAAGCAATGGCGGCGACATGGTGTACGCACGCCAATTGTTCCACCAAAAATGAATTCTAAAATGCATCTTAAACGAAGAGCATGAGCGCGGTTAATTTCGAGAAGAGAAGCGTGGACGATCACCTTGAGGTTGTAGGAGACGTCGAAGTGGAGGCAGAGCCCGAAGTGCAGGAAATGGGCGGAGGAGCCCACACCGGGCAGCCGCGGCAGCGGGTCGCCGGCGTAGGTGAACCGGAAGTGCCGCTTCTTGGGCCTGTCGAGGTTCCGCTCCGCGAACATGGCGAGCATGGCGTCGCCCACCTGCGGCTGCCCGAAGGTGTACACCCCGGCCAGCCGGTCCATCACCGCCTTCTCCCGGTGGTACGCCATGACCGTCGCGAACAGCACCGCCAGCGCGCCGCCGCTCCCGTGCCCGGTCACCAGCAGCCTCGCCTTCGGGCTCGCCTCCAGGAGGCCCTTCACGGCATCGCGGATGGTGTAGTACGCGTACACCTTCTGGGGCTTGCCCTTGACGTGCTCCACCCACTTGGGCCACCCCATGTTGCGCTGCGCGCCCAGCGCGTGCGTGTAGGCGGCGTGCGCGCGCCCGAGCCGCGGCACCTTGTACCACGACGGGTCCAGGTCGGCGCGCCACCGCGCCGCGTCGAACGCCGGCGTCCCCCGGAACGCCACCACCACCAGCTCCGCGTCCGGCCCCGCCTTGTCGCAGAACACGAACGCCTGCGCCGTGTACGCGCTCTCGAACTCTGGAGCAGTCGACACGCATCAGTTCAGATACACACACGCATGTGTGTCCGTTGTGCACACAGAAGATTTCTTTTGATTACCGTTCCAGCAGTTGTAGAACTTGACGAACTCCATCTGCCAGCGGCGGGTGACCACGTCGCGGATGAAGGCCTCGTTCTCGTACGCCACCTTGGACGCCATGACGCACAGCGCGGCGTGGTGCCGGCTGTCCGCCGGCGAGATGCTCCTGTCCAGATCGACTCGCCGGTCGATGAGCCCCGTCAGCGACCGGTACGACGCCGACGATCTGTCCGGATACTCCATCTTCCCTGCAACCAACCAATGAACAACAGTAGAGTTCGTTTCAGTTTGCAGTGCAGCCAAGACGGGCGCCAAATGCAAACAGTGCGTGCACGCGCTCATGCATGAGCTGACCGTGGAGGACGTTGTCGATGAGGTTGAGCGCGAGCTCGACGGCGGCGCCGATGGCGGCCACGGGGCCGGCGAGCGAGAGGAGGAGGATCTGCAGGAGGAGGTTGAGGAAGAGGGCGAGCCGGCGGGGGAAGCTGCGGATCTCGGTGCTGGTGAAGCAGTCGACGGCCTTGTTCCGGCCGACCTTGGGCGAGAAGAGGAGGTGCAGGAGGTCGAACGGGCTGGCCCTGTCCGGGCGCAGCACCATGTAGTCATTGCTGAAGCAGTAGTCGAGCTTGCTCATGCTGGCCGGGCACCGATCAACTGTTTGCTGCAGGTCTTGCCGCCTATGCAGAGCGGGTCGTGTATGTTATGATTCTTTGGGCGGTACAGTGAAAGCTTAGTTGCAAAGGCGATTTTTTTTCTCAGCCGAGTTTTTTGCCCCCGTTTTCTCACTGTCTTTTGCTGCGTCTTCTGATTTCTCTCGTTTGTATGTCTGCTGAGGATATCTGATTATCTGTGGTTAACTTTGGATTGAAATTTCCTGGCTTGTGGCAAAGATAATGTGAACTATATATTCTGGGTGTGGCTGCCTCAAGCCTGCATGTTTTTCTTTTTTGAGGGTAAGCCTACATGTTTTTCTTTTTTGAGGGTAAGCCTACATGTTACATGCTTGTCACAAGAGGCGGCGTCAAAATTATATGGATTTTATTTTTGGAACTCTTGAATTGTTTATTCTTACAACTTTCATGTGGTTTTCAGAGCAGATGGGTCCTTGTCATTCTTGAATCGTGTATTTGGATTCGTCTTTCATTGGTTTGAAATAGCGAAAGCCTGAATTGATAGTGCTCTCTAGAGGCTTCGACGATTGAGAGAACTAGAGATTGGTCAATAGTGACAAGTAAACGGAATCTAATGTTCCTCGGTTGATCAACAGTTTTACTGGACGTCAGCCATCTGAAATTAGAATTTGAATTAGTCGATTCAGTGGAGAAGGAAGCAGCAGTGCACTGATATTGTCTATCTTAGGGTGCAAGGGGGTGCGGGTGGAAAAGCAATCACTTCATCTATCTTAGGGTGCAGGGGGTAGCAGGAGCCACCTTGTCTATCTTAGGGGTGCGTGGGGTTGCAGGTTCTTCCGAAAATTCAGGTGGTTCACCGGTTTAGCACGATGTTGAGGTTGTCGACAAGCATGGCAGCGGGGTGGCGAGGCGGCCGCAGGTATGCCACTGGCGACAGAGGCAGGTGATTCGGTCGGCGGTTGTGGGTGGTTCGGATCAAGAACGTGGGAAAGAAGACGATGAACATTTTTTCAGGAGGTTGAAGAAGGAGATATGCCCGTTCCTTTTCCATCCAACGACTGGGAACAAATCAACTGACCCAAAAATAAATTATGTCGACTAGCCCCTAGCCATTCCCGTTGATCAGACATTCACGGCTCAACGACATGATTGATTAATTAAACTTGATGATTGAGCTACACTATAAACATTATTTAAAACAAAAAAAGATCTTGAACCATTGGAAAAATCTACATCCTCTTAATACGCATTTTTTTCCATTCTGGTATGAGAACTGTCCAACTTTGGTCCTCTTCCAAATTGAAATTAGTTTTAATAATTGTGAAAAGTTAGGTTTGCACGTGTGACGTGCCATTTAGCACCAAGACGGAATTGAAATTCTCTTTAGGAAAAACTCAACAAATATGAAGAAGAAATTGGAAGATGAAATGATCGATATGGTTGACTAGAGGGGTGGGGGGGTGAATAGGCAACTAATAATTTTTAGCTTTTCTTTAACAATTTAAACTTTGCATCAAAGTAGGTTGTCTAGATATGCAACTAGGTGAGCAACCTATATGATACAACAAGAATAGGAACACAAGCAAGCAAGTGATATGAAACAAATAAGCTTGCTCAAATAAAGGCACGAGATAACCAAGAGTGGAGACAGTGGAGACGAGGATGTGTTGCCGAAGTTTCTTCCCTTTGAGAGGAAGTACGTCTCCGTTGGAGCGGTGTGGAGGCACAATGCTCCCCAAGAAGCCACTAGAGCCACCGTATTCTCCTCACGCCCTCACACAATGCGAGATGCCGTGATTCCACTATTGGTGCCCTTGAAGGCGGCGACCGAACCTTTACAAACAAGGTTGGGGCTCTCTCCACAACTTAATTGGAGGCTCTCAATGAAACCACGAAGCTTCACCACAATGGAATATGGCTCCGAGGTGACCTCAACCGTCTAGAGTGCTCAAACACCCAAGAGTAACAAAATCCACACAAGAAAGTATGGGGGAAGCAAATATCCTTTGGTGGAAGTGTAGATCTAGGTCTCCTCCTTCAATTCCTAGCAAATCAACAAGTTTGAGTGACTAGAGAGAGAGATCGGGCAAGAGAGCTTGAAGTGCATTAATGGTGGAGTGAGAGAGGTCAAAAGGTAAGAGTGGTAGGTGGGAGAAGCTCACTTATATAGTAGCCCTCAATTCCAACCGTTACTGCGTTTTTTGCACTGCAGCGGTACAACCGGTCCTCCTCCCGGTACAACCGGGACTCACGGTGTATCTGCAGAACCCTACCAAGCGGTACAACCGGACAGGTGGGCGGTAGTACCGGTTAAGAAAAATAACCGGACTAACCGCCTGGCCACCGCACAATCGCCGCATCAAAACAGGAGCTTGACCGGTACTTGGGCGGTGCCTGGCCGGAACAACCGCATGGCCTTGATCTCTTGGGAGGCTAAGTTCCGAGCGGAAGAACCGCTCGGACCACCGGTGGTACCGGTCATCGTGGAACGACCAGACCAACCGGGCCACTACCGCCCAAGAACCGCATCAAAACAGAAGCGCGAGCGGTACTTGAGCGGTGCATGGACGGAACCACCGCCCCAGCATTTGCAGAGCATGGTGGCGGTACCACCGCCCGGAGGCAGCGGTACAACCGCTAGAGCAAAGCTGGTGAGCTACAAGACCCAGCGGTACAACCGCTCCAGAGAACGATACAACCGCTGGGCAGAAACAGTGAGCAGGAAGGATAGGGGAAGAGACAAGGAAAAACTCTCACTCTCTAACACCCGAGGAAGACAAAGAGGGGTGATGAACGTGTACGTGAAAATATTCCCCCAGTGCTTTCTAATGAGGATTCCCTCTTGATAGTACGGGTTCCCTACGACCAAAGAGAATAAAAATGTAGAGGACACGTCTTCGATCTTTTCCTACGAGAGGCAATAGCAATCCGATGTAAGCCTAAGCATCGAGAACCTGAAATACATATAGCACACAATTAGACCAACAAAGGGTTGTCATCATCATCCAAAACATAAAGTAGGGAAATGCCCTTTCAATCTCCCCCTTTTTGGTGGATGATGACAACAACACGAATTGCAAGAGATAAGTCAACAAAATCTAGACGGAACTCCCCCTGAATATGTGCCCCAATAGGAACTAGCTGTTAGAAAGCATGGGCACACTTTCAGGACTAGACCCCCCCTAGATTTTGTAGACTCACCACTCTAACAATATAAAGCTTAGAGTGTAATAATAACGATAATGACCGATGAACGGAAAGGTAACAGGAGTAACAAGTCTCACAAACAGCAAGGAACGAAACAAGTCCATGAATAAAGACCAACACGAGAAAACGAGAAAAAGAAAAACCCACCCCCGAGACCTGTAGAACCCTCTCTCCCTTTGGCATCAAGACACCAAAAAGGAAAAGAGCGAAGCTAGCGTCCCAAAGCTCAGGCGTCCTCCTCTGACTCCTCGGTCGCATCTGGATCCTCATCGTCAGAGTTGTCATCGTCGTCGTGATCAGATTCTTCCATGGCATTGTCAGCTGCTGCAAATGAGGAGGATGGCTGGGGAGGGGCTTCATCATCAGTCCAGGTGCTATGGGTAGATATCCAACGCTCCTCTGGGGTGATGCTCTTCTCAGAGCCACTCTAAACCGACATGTTGAGGTGCTTCATCATTGCAATTTGGCGACGTCGTGCAAGCTTCTCATTGACATGTGCCTCATACATCCTCTTCTGGATGTCAGCCTGAAGACAAAAGGTCTTCTTCACCTTGGCAGTGAGTTTGGCCACCCACGAAGGCTTGGCCCCTGGCTCCAGCTCAAAGTCCTCATCGTCAGAAGTAGCATAGACATCCTCAGGAGCATTTGCAGGGAAGCGAGGCTCGGCATGCTTCTTCTTCTTAAGGAGCTTGACCTCATGAACAATGAGGTTGTCTGGAGAAGTGAGGAGCTTTCCAGGACGACGAACATCCCACACAGAGTTCAGAAAGCACATGACAAACGGGGCATAGATTGGGACTTTACGGTAGATGACCATGTTGTACATCTCATGCCACATCCAATTTGACACATCAAACGTTGCCCCTATCCCCACCGTGGTCTTCATAGCAACCATCAAATCAACCAGATAACCATGAATCTCATCTTGATTGCCCACCTTGGGCAAGAGCACATTGCGGAACACTCGGTGCATGATGTCATAGACCTTCTCCAAATCCTTGGATTCTCCAATAATCCCACGGCCCCGAATGTACAGAGGGGAAAGCTTCTCCTTAAGCATGGACTCAGGAAAGTCATGAGGACGAATGCCACCCCTTCCTTCCAGACCGGTATCCTCGTACCCAATAGCATTGCAGAATGCCCTCCAGGGAACGCGAAACAATTCATCGCGACACATGAAGGTGAGAGTGAGCGCATCATCTTCCCCAAAATGAACCGTGGCATAGAACTGATGGATGAGTTGAACATCAAAGTCACAGTTGACTAACATGAGCTTAACAAGATCAAACTCCTCGCAGAGAGCCAGCGCCTCACCAAAATACTCCATGTTGTTCCTCCAATGGTCAAGATCAATTGTCCACTGCTTGGCATATCTGTTCTTGTTGTGCTCAAAGAGTTCATGAACAATCCGCACTTGCATCTCATTCCGGAACTGAACGGTGGTCCAACGAGGAGCAATGGGAACCTCATACGGATTCTTTGATCGGAAGGCTTCCCAATCCTTGGCTTTCCAATGATGCAACGACATAACCACACGTTGCTTAGCAGCTGCAGACTTTTCACGGCGAGTGGGCTTGGTGGGAATCACAACTTCTTCTTCATCATCAGACACAACCGGGCGCAAGGTCCTTCGTGCCCTCTTCTTGGTCTTGCGAGGAGCAGAGCGAGAACTAGAGCCCCCTGAACACACACACGAAAAATCACATAAAACCCAGCAAGGATGAGAGGATTGCACACACCAGCAGAAAAGGAACATGTTGCGGCAACAGAGAAGATAGAACAGTGCTGGGTGGTT